TTGAGCCGTTCCAGCATGATCCCAAGCTATTGATTGTAACACTTTGAAAACGGATAAAAGCTTACTAGAAAGATCAGATACTTGCGATTAAAAATTAAAGAGAGGTAACGTACACAGACTATGACGAGGCTTCCATCAACACTCAAATCCATAGGGCTAGTTGATTGACCCTCAAGAACTGATCATAATGACATGTCACAAACCATTAAGCATACACTAACTAGTATTATAAACCATGAATCAGCCCAACTTGACGAATCGTTTGATTAAGGCTCAGTATATTTTCGTATACCTTTTAAGATATCCAGGTCCGAACATGGTCCAGCCTTAAAGAAAGCGGTGCTATACCTGAGTAAACTCTTGCTTGTTAGTTATATCTTTTGACTAAAGTTGTGGCTTCAGGTAGGTTGAAGTTGACCCTCGTAAACCCAACCCAAAAACGAGGTAGATGTACTAGCACTAAAACTGCTGCCTGATGACTCTACTTTCTGTTCCTTCTAGAGGTGAGTTTCCTGGTTAACGATGGCCTACTTGTCTACCTCTTGATATTGTGAGCAAGAACTTAAATCACTGAAGCAAGATGGGAGTCTAAAATTGGCTTTCTTCAATCATATGTGAGATGTAATCATATGTCGAGAAAAAGTGATTGTTTAACTCAAAAAACAAGCTATATCCTCTGGTTATGGCTTTTTAATTTTATGACACTATAAATGGCAGTTCATATTGTAGTCTGAAAATCCTCTAAGTACGACACTATTCAATTTATATAAGGCTAAATGTTAATCTGACAAAACACAAAATGCATGAAATTAACTTGTTCAAATGTTAATTTGATTTATTTTTAGTGACAAACAAACTCTAATAAAACCTCTTCGTGTGCTTACTTGCTTCTCTTGACTCATTATTTTCTTGCTGAAGTGCTAAGATATTATTCAAACACAGTATTGACAACAGGGTGAAACCACGATAGATACAGAGGCGAGTGACTACCAAGCTATTGGCATAAATAGAATTATCCCCAACGATGCTGATTCAAAATAAAAGCTGTCCATAGAAATCATATTTGAGAGAAGCATTCCGAAGATTTTTGATAACATACTGCCACCCAAAAGATGAATAGCTACGTGAAGGATCAGTATCTCCTTAGTATCAGTGTAGGTTGAGGGAGATTTTCGGGTCATACCAAGGTAAAATTCAATGGCAACCAGGAGTTGCTGAAATGAGAACGGGTAACGTTTCATATAAGGGGCCAGGAACTGTCAGAAAGTAGACTGGACAGTGAAACCAAGTTAGTAAAGATAAAAAGATAATGAAAAAAGGAGATGACCACAAGAGCCTGTCATTGGATATACTTAAGGATATCTCGCAAATGAATATCAACAACTAAAATATATTGATTTGAGAAAGGGTGACAGGTAAGGAAAATACAAAAAGTTACGAAACACCTCTGTAAACTAAAGTCCTCACTTGGCCATAAAGAGATCCGAGAAGAAGACAACAATCTTTAAAGGAAGGGAATTGTTTGAAATAATGGAGAATTCTTCCACGAAATCTTTAGAAGCTCAAAAAAGGCTGAAGATGCTTCGTTCAGTAAACAGCATTTAAAAACTTATTAAAATACGAATAAAAGATAATTTTTCACGTTTAAATAAATTGCAAGTTATTTTTCTGCCTAATTCAATGTGTCTGTAGTAGGTTCTTAATGGTCAAAATCACTCGGAAACCAAATCTAGCGGTAAATAAGCCCCTGAAATCAATAGCTCTGTAAATCTTCGACATTTGATACTGACCATATTATTTTTACTTAACTCACATAGCTGAAGGCGCTCGGCCATGCATTCGCACCAGATCACGAGTGAGAACTCTGTGCTTAACTTCTACAACCACTCGCCAGTTTAGATCAGTCACTCCTCAATATATTGATAACCAATCAAATATATCTTCGAACCTCTTCGCTTTTCAATTCTGATTTCACTGATTGACATGTTTCGATTATAGAATGTGTTACTAGTAAGGGTGTTGTCAAACTTCAAATAATTATGGCATCTTCGCAATGAAGATTGATTGATTACTTAGATTTGAGGTTATGCTTGTGTCCTTACTTTGCTAACCCTATCAACGGTTCACGTTTATGTGCAGGAGTTAATGAAGAAAGCGACTACGAGTTCAGTAACAAGTAGGTCGTTCTCCCTAGGAGTTGTATATGCCAACGCCCGTAGTCTAAGACATAAATTCTACGAGCTAGGAGCATTAGTGGACAAATTAAGGCCACTCATTGTAGCTGTGACGGAAACTTGGTTAGCCCATGACTTCGATTTCACCCCAGAATTATCCGGATATCATTGTTTAAGAAGTGATAGACATAGATGCAGGAAGGGAGGTGGCGTCCTTCTATACATAGCCAGTAGTATAAATATCCGCTCCTCCGTTTGCGAATCCCATGATAGTGGAACTAGTGAAGTCATTAGCTGTGAGCTCACTGTCGGATGTTGCACATTTGCAATCGGTGTCATCTATCGCAGACCAATCTGCTTAGCTGATGACTTTATTTTAGAACACATTCGGCTATGGAGTGCAAATAACAGATGTTTGATATTAGGTGACTTTAATGCACCTGATATTAGTTGGACTGAGATGACCACGAAATGCTCTATAAACTCATTTGATAACAGGCTCTTGGAAACAGTAATGGAACATGCATTAGTACAACATGTATCCAAACCTACACGTTTTGGTGTAAACCAAGGTTCTTCTCTGTTGGACTTGGTAATTACCAATGAGACTGAGGATATTGACAACCTAAATATTCTTCCCCCGTTAGTAAATAGCGATCACGCTGTTTTATCATTCACGTTTAGAGCTAGCGATATGATATACGATCAGATTAAGCCTCGCCCAAACATATGGAAAGCTAACATACCAGAAATTCAGGATTGTGCTACTAAGATAGATTGGTCAGTAGATACTAGCTCATCAGTTGATGAGGCGTGGTCTGTATTTAAAGGCAAGTTTAGTGCACTCACGTCCCCATTCATACCATACTTGGTGCCACGTAGACCGAACAATAGTCCACCGTGGATAAATAGAGAAGTTAAGAAACTCCTTAGGCGTAGAAAAAACACTGGAACATGTTCATCTCTACTGGCTTAGAACAGTACAGATCTAGTTATTGTAAGATTAAAAATAATTGTAAAGCATTAATTAGTAGGACTAGACGGTCATGCGAAAAAAAATTGGTTATGGATTGCAGACATAGTCCAAAACGGTTATTCTCGTATATAAAGAGGCGAACTCAGAGAAGTGATGGAATACCATCACTTTTGATACAAGAAAATCCGTTAAGTTTGGCAAGAAATGATACCGAAAAAGCTTCCGCTTTTTCGGAATATTTCAGTAAAGTTTTTTCTATCAGTCGTGAGGAACGACCAATTATTCATCGTGTTGTGGCGGCTTGTTGATGGACCCTGTAGTTATTAAGAAAGAAACTGTTTAAAGCCTACTTCAGCATCTCAAACCTGATAAGTCTAGTGGTCCTGATGATATTCATCCTCGGATTATGAAAGCCCTCTCAGATGTTATTGCTGAACCCTTGGCGATGCTGTTCGATATGTCCCTACGGCAGTCCAGATTGCCCAGAGACTGGAAGGACGCAATAATCAGTCCGGTGTATAAGACTGGGGGTAGGGATTTAGTTAGTGACTATTGACCCGTCAGCTTAACTAGTCCAGTTGTAAAACTAATGGAAAAAATTATTAGGATGGCTGTTATAAACTACGTGGAAAGACATGATCTTTTGTCAAAGGAACAACATGGTTTTCGAAAAGGTCTATCATGTTTGACAAATCTTCTCATTGCAAGAGAAGATTGGGCTGAGGCAAAAGATCGCAATATTCCTATAGATGTCATTTTCATAGATCTAAGTAAAGCCTTTGATAAGGTTTCCCATTCTGGTCTTAAATTGAAACTAGAAAGTTTTGGAATTCATTATGCAGTCATCGACTGGATAAGTGACTTTCTTCATGAAAGGAGACAACGGGTAAGAGTAAATGGGGCTCTCTTGTCGTGGGAACCAGTAAAAAGTGGCGTCCCCCAAGGCACGATTTTAGGTCCTCTTCTCTTTTTACTTTATATAAATGAATTACCAGCTATAGCTAAGTCATCCGTCCTACTATTCGCCGATGACATTAAGATTTGGAGACCCATATATAGTATGTCAGACAGAATAGTTTAACAGGAAGATCTTAACTCATTAGTTGCATGGATGAATGGGTGGTCACTAGAAGTAAACCCTAATAAAAGTGTTGTGATGCAATTAAATAACTACGATGATTCGTATCACTACACAATATATGGACTAGTGTTGCCCAAAGTAAGAAACTATAAAGATTTAGGAGTCATACTAAGTAATGATCTCAAAACAAGCAGTCACTGTAAGGCTGCTGCTGCAAAAGGCTATAGGGCATTATGGTCTATTCGTCGATCTTTCCGGTATCTGGATGGGGAAATGTTTAGATTATTATACCCAACTTTCGTACGACCACATTTGGAATACGGGATTCAAACAGCAACTCCTTGTTTCAAATATGAAACGGATATGTTGGAACGAGTCCAACGCCGCGGGACAAAAATGGTAAAAGGCCTATCTAGCCTATCTTATGAAGACAGACTGAGACATCTCAACTTATTTCCGTTATCTTACCGGCAAATACGGGGTGATCTAATATCGGCATATCGTATCCTGAACGATGACCTTGGTACTAACATGTTCTATCTTTTCCTCCCGTCTAGGGCTGATCATTTGAGAGGACATTCAAAGAAAGTCCAAAAACCGAGATCAAATCGTCTACGTCTGGAGTTTCGTTTCTCGCACCGAGTAGTGAATTACTGGAATTCTCTACCAGAACACGTAATATCAGCACCTTCTGTTGATATATTCAAGACGAGATTGGACCTCCACAGTGTAACAAACTGCAAGGATTAAAATAGGTCACTAGACCTCCTATCCTTATTACTGAAGACTGAACCATTGAACCTCGTATTCACTCTTCGGTGTACTTTCCTACAAGTACGCTACTATTGTGTTTCGCAGTTATAAATATGTGCTATACCATAGTCCAGTAATGTCGTATTTGAACTTTGACATTCACAGTTCTTGTTTTCTTGTCCGGCACAAAATGCATAATTACAATTCCTTGAGATCAATTAGCCGAACTAAGCTAACAACGGAGCACACTCAATCTCCCTATTAAAGGGAAACTTTAGAGCTTCCCCAAAGTTTAGGGAAAACCCACAACGTGTAATTAAATCCTAGGGAAAACCCAAAATTTTCTCAAAACTTTAAGGATTCTATCAAGACCTGGAGAAATCTTGATGTCTTTGTTTATATTTCTGCGGTTTCCTATTGAAGCCTGCCAAAATTTACCTAAAACAGACAAGCTTTTCCTCAAAATAGGAAGATGAGGCACTTTAAAATCTCACGGATTCCTATCATAAGGAATATTTATGGCTTGAAACATCAGTGTTAATGTGATTCTTGTGACTGATAGAATGCTCGTCTTCAGTAATAAGGATAGTAGGTTGATGAACCTGTGTTAATCCTGACAGATTTCCTTCCAGTGAAGGTCCAGCTTCTTTTTGAAAATGTTCACTGATGGTGCTGATACCACTTGTTCTGGTAAAGCGTTCCAGTCATTGACTATTCGATGAGAAAAACGGGACCCCACCTTTAGTTTATTAGATCGCGGTTTCAGGACCTTCTTGCTATGACCCCGGAGATTATTAGTGCTGGAGGGAGCAAAAAGGTAAGACATATTAACACCCAGATCATAATTAAAGATACGAAATGCCAGTATAAGGTCACCTCGCGTCCTACGATAAGATAAGGGGAAAAGATTTAGACGTTTTAAACGCTCATCGTAAGGGAATTTGGAAAGACCCTTTACTAATTTTGTCCCTACACGCTCAAGCGATTTAGTATCCTTTATCAGACAAGGGCTAGCTGCTTGGATACAGTATTCTAAGTGTGGCCTTACATAGGTGGGATATAAAATTCGAAACATATCCTCGTCAAAGCATTTAAATGCTCTGCGAAGCGACCATAGCGCGCGATAGCCTTTGGAAGCAACCGCACTGCAGTGCGTTGTAGTTTTTAAGTCGTGACTTATAATTACTCCTAAGTCTTTATGCGCATGAACGCGTGGCAGAGATGTACCATTAATGGTATAGTGGTAACTAATATCGTGCCCGATGTGCATGAACACTCTCTTCCTAGAATTAACTTCCAGGCCCCAATCATGAGCCCACCTAACTAATTCGTCTAAATCTGCTTGTAGATAACAACGATCAGTCTCATTTCTTATTGTTCTCCAGATTTTAACATCATCCGCAAACAATAACGTCGACGACTTAAGTAATAAAGGTAGTTCATTAATATACAGAAGGAAAAGTAAAGGGCCCAAGATGGTGCCTTGGGGTACACCACTTTTGACCGGTTTCCATTCGGATAGAGTTCCATTGACTCTCACTCTCTGTCTGCGGTCACATAAGAAGCTTCCTATCCATTCCTGTATAGCACCTGTTATACCAAAGCTCGAGAGCTTTTGCATAAGACCTAAGTGTGAAACCTTATCAAACGCTTTGCTAAAATCTATAAATATCACGTCGACAGACTGGCCGTTGTCTAGTGCAGCTGTCCAATCCTCTCTCGCAATGAGTAAGTTAGTCAAGCATGAATGCTTGTTACGAAACCCATGTTGCTCGGGAGTTAACAGATTGTACGAATCAATGTGGCTCAGTAGCTTAGCCCGAATTAATTTTTCAAGTAACTTAACTACTATACTGGTCAGGCTAACAGGCCGGTAGTTAGATACTATCCGTCTCTGACCATCCTTAAATATAGGACTAACTATGGCGTCTTTCCAGTCTCTAGGTAGTTGAGCCTGTGAAAGGGACATGTTGAAGAGCATCGTGAGCGGTCTTGAGATAATGTCCGCAAGCGACGACAGCAAACGTGGGTGTAACCCATCGGGGCCCGGTATCTTACAAGGTTTTAGGTTAGTTATCAAAGGAAGAACTATATCCTCTGTCACGTGTAAAGGTCCTATGGCTGGTATCTCATTGTCAACGGGACAAGTAGTTGTAACACTACACGTAGAGTAGACTTCACTGAAATAGTTAGCAAATAACTCCGCTTTCACCAGATCAGATTCAGCCAATAAAGCTGAATTTTCGCTTAACAGTAATGAGGGGATACCATCACTACGTTTCGTCCGCCTTTTAACGTACGAAAACAGTCGCTTCGGACAGGTACGGCTATCGTATGCCAACTGTCGTTCGTAAGCCGTGCGGGATTTAGCTATGGTCTTTTTACATATATTCCGGATTTTTTTATATTCGCACTTAAATGATGCCTGACCTGTTGACAAGAATAAGTCCCAGAAGTGTTTCCTACGCTTCAACAGCTTCCGGGTTTCCTTATTAATCCATGGAGGGCAATGTGATAACTTACGTGCTGACCATGGGATAAACGGTTGGGTTACGGATTCGAACGTCTGAGAGAATACTTAGTACATACGAAAGAAACTCCAATAAATATTCTCAATTTTACAACTTTTGGGGAATTTCAGTTAATTTCGGGGAAGCTCCATTAGAAATTACGAGAAAATGTGGCTATAAACCTTAAGACGTCTTGAAATCAATATTTTCATTTCTTAGCTAAATAGTTTTGATCATAAAGAATGATACGGCAAGACTATAATTTATGGACGAACTAATCAGATTTATGATTGCAGATCTTGAATTTTGGCTCGAGATTAATTAATTCATTAGTCTAAATAGAGTTTTGGCATTATAACTGATGTCAGTTCGTGATGAAAACCCTATATCGAATTCCTTACCCTATCAGCTGTAAATATTAATCCTAATTACTCACACTGGCTTATAATCCTCATTTAACCGTATTATGCAAATAGACATTCTTACGGTCTCTTTAGCGTCGCTCAAAGGTCGTCCATAAATTATAGTCTCACCAATCTTAAAACTCCTCTGGACCAAGGCCTTTCTCTGGAGTTCAGTTTATTTTAATAGGGTACCTAAGACATCGAGGAGCATTAGATGTTTTTACAATATTCACCCAGGCTATGGCGAAATTTATTACACATCATCGAGAAATCACCAAAATTTCCTATGTATAAGAAGATATTTTGCAGCTAGAAGTGCATTTTTCTGCAAGCTTTATGTCATTAGGAGACTAGTTGTTTACTATTAGCCGTTTAAAAATATTGGCTGCCGCAAACTTTTATGCGTAAACTACTAACCTATGTGACTTGTTAAATCGTTCAACAACAAATATTTCATCAGATGATTCTTAAAATAATATGTGAACCCTCAATTATAGTTTATTTACGCTATCAAGGTAGTTCTATCTTGTAAACACGTGTAATATCATATCTCTACAGTTAAAAAACTGACTTAAGACAAATAGTGTGGCCTATTAAAGGAAAATGAGGATATATGCATTCTTCAGGAATATGTGTACCCATTTATAAATAGTTGTTTAATGATTTCCTGGGTTTTGTCTCAACGATCCATAATGTAGTTAGTGTAAAATGAATGTTAATACTATTTCAGTAATACGAATTTACAACAATACTCCAGAAAAGTGTAATGACACATAAAACCTGGGTATTACACTTTGTTGACGGAGTACACACAGCAACAGCCTTAAGAACATATGAAATACAGATGAAGTACGGAAGGTTCGACACAATGTATATAGCATTAGTAACACAATGACGTCAGCGCATATTTATGAAGCCATCTGAAAAATATGGATGTACGGTAACTTAGTTTTTGCCTAAGCCTATGAACGCAATCTACAAACACATAAATCTGTGTAATAATGGATTTTTATTGTATTATCCTTATATTTCCCTTGGATCGCCATCTGCGCTTATGTACTGTATCCCTTGCGTCGTGCAATAAAGCCTTGTTCTCAGTATCCATCGCTTGTATTGTTTTTCAGGAAAAGTAGCACTTTTAAACAGTAAATACAGACCGTCCAACCACTCACCATCGCGGAACTTCATCTGAAACACCTCCGATTGATACGTTGAGAGTATTCCCGTCAGATCGTATGCGCTTAAGATACTTAGGTGCGATTAAGAAGCTCATTTATCCTTAGAAAGACTTAGCTAGCATGCAACTGATCCATATGTCTCAAAATTTTAGCGTCTATCAATGTAACAATGATGTGTTGTAGACAACACACCCCTTGTGGTTTCAAACGAAATTGTCGTTCCATGAATAAAGTCTTTGACTGGAAAGCAACCGAAGGTAGGCTTTATATTATATTCAGGGCCTGCAGCTTTAAATTATCGTTTACCTTCAGCACTTTATAGGAATGTTCAACACCTACCATTATCAGTTTACTTGTCGTCATACTATAGGTTGCATAATTCCCTAGTAGTGTGCACAATCGTCTAAATCTTACTAGCTAACTAACCCACAGAGTAGGTTGCTTTTAAATAACATGCTAACACGCAGAATACTTATTACAAAGATAAGCATGGCTATATACCACAAGCTATTGGAAAATATGGGTTTCTTTGGCCGATTACTCACCAAATGGGATTAGGATCCAATTATCAGGCATATGTCAGAAGCGATGCAGTTTGATGATTTCCACAATGTATGTCTTTTCCACCTCCAGTGTTTCCTCCTAATTTCCCCTTCAGCTGGAAGCTGGTTTGTTTTCTGCCACAGTAGGTTGTTGCTGATGGTATCCGGCCAACGGACATTGAGTAGACAGTTGTTTACAAATATTTATCATTTTGTGATGATGGTCGTAATAGTTCTCCAAGTTTCAGAACTATCAGCAACAACCTTTTGTGGGAGAAAGCAAACCAGCTTACAGCTGAAGAGGAAATTAGAAAACGTTGGAGGTGGACAGGACACATTACGGAAATCACCAAACTGAATCACGAGGCAAATACTAACTTGGGATCCTGAAGGGAAATGGAAAAGAGGAAGACCAAAGAATACACTGCTCTGGGAATCATAAGCAGGCATCAGAAGAATGAATAGAAACTGGAAACGATTGCCCAGGACAGCTGCATGGAGAATCCTGGCGGATGACCTACGATTTTCCAAGAGGAGCAACAGGTGTGAGTAAAAATAATGTCAGAAGTGTCGGTCTTAGTGAGTTAGCTCTACAGGTCCCTAATGATGGCAATGCACAACTGTTTAAAATGGTGACTGAGGCATCTGAGCTTGAAAATTAAACGTCAGTCCATCTGGGTAGAGTCCACTCTTCTGACTTTCTTTTTGTGATAATCACAGAGGAAGCAGCTTGTCTCGGTGCTTCTAATACCTTAGCCCCCATAATCACTTGTTGCTTAACGAAAATGCTTAACGACAAACCTGACAGGTTTCAGAACACAGAGCTACTTATTTTCGTACTGTTTGACCTAGAGACAGCATTTTATTTCTCTGGGGCAGTCTCGTGGAGGCATTTATCACTAGGTGTACAAAAACTGCACCCAACTTTCGTTCTTACATTTAGGTATGTGATACCGTTTACAATCTGAATTAAATAGGATCAGTTATCTTTTTTTCTGATCTCAATTGTTATCCTTTATGATTTCTTAACCATTGCAGATGTCTGAAGATGTTGTTGAAAATTTAAAGGCAACAGTCGTAAAACCTATAGTTTACGGAAATGTTTCACGTTATCTGGGCAAAAAGCGTGAAGAAGATGGACGAACCCATCAGTGGACAGCGTTTTTGCGACCATATAATACTAGCGAAGACCTGTCGACATTTATAAGAAAAGTCCAGTTTAAATTACATGAAAGTTATTCAAATCCCATACGAATTGTTAACAAACCACCGTTCGAACTGACGGAAACTGGTTGGGGAGAGTTTGACATTACAATGAAAGTCATATTTACCGATCTTAATGAAAAACCCCTGATAATAACTCATCTCATTAAGTTGTTTCATTGTGACCATGAAATAATGATGGGTCATAAGAGTTTAGTACGAGAGATCTACGACGAAATGGTTTTCGTTGATCCTTCTCCGTCTTTTTATCGAGCGTTGATGAGCAGATCTCAAATTCCTCCAAGCGTACCAACAATCGCACACGAAACTGATTTTAAAGAAACAAAGCGTCAAGCATTGTGTTCTATACAAGAACTAAACAAAAAGGTTACTGAGGCAATTGAAGTTTATAAAAAGCAGCTTATTTCGAGGAAAGGAATTATTGAAGAAGTGAAGTCGATCGTAAACGAAGTAGATTCTGCGACTGTTGGAACCATATTGCAGTAACTATGTATATGTAAATATGTGTATATTATTTCTTTATTGACGATTAAATAATATTATCTCAAGATGCAAAGTACATGTTTTATATTTCAAAGCTTCATTTCAAATAATCTCCGGATTGTAAACTAATGTCTAGGTAACTTCTATATATTTCAGGGATTCATAAAAAAATCAGCGAAATATTGTTGAGCTGAGAAAACATTTTGACTCTATTTAATAGCTTGTTTTTTTATTGCCCTGGCTTCATCCTAAAGATATTCGAAAGTGCAATGGAGTTTAGTGAATGTATTCAGTAACGTTTTGATTACGCGTCAACTTTAGAACATGTACAAAGTGACGAACAGAATCATTATGCAATTCAGTAGGAAAAATGACTGTCGAAGTACCAATTTTACAAAAAACCTAGACAACGATTCTTATGTAGCCAATTGTTACTCATCATGATGGTTAGCAACAAAACTAAATAGGCTAACCATTTAATTAAGTTGGCTCTTGTAATTCCGGATGACCTACCAAATCACATGTTTATTTAGTACCAAATTAAGCCTTGGGTTGTGGGGTTCTGTAGTTGATGGATGGGCTTTACATAACATAGATATAAGTAAACTAAAATTATTCACTAATCAATGTTAATATTTGTTTTAGTAATGCACATATACATTTAAAGCCTATAATATGACGATCGGGAACTGGTAAAATATTGATACAATTTCCTTAATTCCAAAACATATAATTAGACGTACAGCACAGATAACTTTATTCGTACGCTGCCTTCCCTAGGAAAGGGTATACGCTACTACGGTATTAACCAAATCTCCAAAATTAGGTTGAAGTTTATTAAATCATGAGTTACAAATAACCAAAGCCAAAAACTGCAAATATTTATATTTCTACAATATTTCGAGTTTAACGTAGATCGTACTAGAAATCGACAGGCTATTTTCGTAGAAAACAATTGTCAAATGTATTTATTTAGCCAGAGTGGAAGTGATTCCCAAATACAAGTCCAGTAAGTTGCGAATTAGTTGTCAGTACTTTAGAAACAACTAGGAGGGTGCCTCGTTCATCAACCCCAAGAAATTTCGTATTATATGAGAGTCATCAATATAAATCCTTACAGCTGTCAACTTGTAGTTTCCATTAAATATTCACTGATTAAGTTAAGTTCCTGACAACTGAATTTATTGAGACAGATGATGATGTGGCTTGCCTATGAGCGGAGTGATCTCGCGTGCTGCTAGAGTTATGAGGATAGTTGTCAATTCCGGGCTCTCCACATCATAGAAGGATATTCTTTTTTGGCATACTTGGCAGGGGAACCAGATTATTCGTCGAAGCGACCTGGGAGCGTGACCACACAGCCCAAGGAACAACTGTCTGAGGTCGGTCACATACAACCTTCCTACGGAACGCTTTCGATGTGTTGGCCTCATTCTCCAAAATACTTAACCGCCGGAGACGGAAAACCACGTGATAAGGTGAAGTGTGACAGTTTTGTGGTTGACTGTCTTTAGCCCCTTTTGTTATGAGAAGGTGGTATGACTGTAGATGCTGGTTGCTTGAAGGAAACAATTACTGCTATCACACTCCTATCAAATCAGCAGTACGACTTTAACTTGCTCCATATTGTCTTACCGTTCTCCAACAGACCTGCGAAGTATGGAAGGATATAAAGGAGCAAGTGTCCCATCCAATGTAGCTCGATCGGGTCATTTCAGCATGCAACCGAGATCACCACATCAAGGTAACAGTTACAGCGATGTTTAGGGTTAAACCTGGACTAAAGATCCATCATTTCAGCAGTAGATGGAGATTGATCATATTGCTATAGATTAATACGAATAGGTGTCTATCGACTGAGTAATTATTATTAATCTGGCCATGGATATAGGTAAACTCTAACAAGCGCACAAAAACAGCACTGAAGTGACTGTGATCTCATATTAATACCAATACTGAATATTATTTTGGGGAACAGCTAATAAAACTACAATATATGACACGTCAATAATCGTCCTGAATTAATTCAGCAGTATGTCCAGTGTGTTGACATGTCAATTATTCATCTGCTAATAACCCATACTTAAAGTTAAAGAAGGATTGGATATCACTGTAACTATTTCGATGGTGATGCATTTATCTGTTCAATGAAGCAATCTGCTTGGACCAGAATAATAAAGACTTTATACAATGACTAGCATTAAACGGATACTGGAAACTGTCAACTGTTATAAAGACCAGAATATACCCTAAACAATGTTTTGTAACTATTTGTGCTTTAAAATGTCATAGCCCCCAGACCTACACTTGAGTTTGCTTAGGTTTAAATTTACTAAGGCCTTTAATTAGTTAATTTAATGGAGTGTCACTTGGTCGTTAACAATCTGTGTATAACTTTATGTCACTATCATTATTATCGTGTTCGCATAAGTAATCACATGTTACAGTCCACACACAAATTCCTCTGAATAGCTTAAATTTTATTTGCCTAAATCGCTCAACGACTCATTTGCTTGCTTATATACACATGTGCTTCTTAAATCATACTCATTTATTTGTCTTTGCTTCGTTTTATTGACCTTGTGACGTGTTATGCGATAATAAACTGGACTCGTTACTTCGTAGTCTTCTGAAATCTATACACCGGTGAGGATTTATTTAATAACGGTCATCGAAACGAGTTATATACATTGCATATAAATTGTCTCGAATATATTTCATTAAACTATTAAAGAAGCGTTTATGTCAATTTAATTCGATTCGCTCTTCATAAATTGAATGAAGAGTGGGTCTGAGCAGTGAAACCAGTTAATAATCAAGTATCTGACCACCCATCTAGACAGATTGGAGTGTGATCAAAAAGCCACACGAAAGTATGTACTTATTAGTGTACAGTCAAATATAATAGATAATAATGGGTTAAATAATAAAGTAGTCGAATGATGATTCATAATAATTTAGATTAACCAGAAATCTCAATAATAAAAAGCACAGAAACTATATGTTGTGTATTACCACTGACAAATGCACGACTTTTGCTGATCGGAACCTATGACTAATATGATGAATAACTTTATCTAGTTAAAGCATCAGTATTACTTTTGAGGACGTAGCGACCCAATCCTAGTTCAACTTACGACTTGCGTTCAGACTAAAATACGTCTTACTATATACATGAAAAAAGGCAATTAGAAATTAATAGGCTTCTTCATACACTGAACAAGAAGACCATCTCATAATGTTGAAAATATGTGGGGAAATCAAAGCAATATCGCTGGTTTTTCTGCAAGTACAAAAGAACATTTGGTTGATGACGGCAATCTTTTGAAAGCTAGTTCTGAATCATGAGCTATTTAACCCCAAAACTGAGTTCATAAAATTACAAAAGCCAATTTAGGTACTGTAATTTAAAAAAAACAATATCAGTATATCACATGAAGTATGGAAGTACACATGTTACTGATCATCTCTGTGTTTAACAATCCCTTTTGATATCAAATCAGGTATTTCTACGGCCAACCAAGGACCCAAACCAAGTGCTATTGCATGTGCAATTCCGAATCTAGGGACGTTCCTACTCCATAGAGGTTTGAAATGATCCGTAAGACATATCTTTCCGCCTCTATACATTTTCGCTGTTTTTCCATCAAGCTCAGGCAAGGCAAGTTCTGGGTTAGTACTGGGATATGAAACAGGTATATCAAAGCTCAAATCGAACTCATACTTTTTCATATCTTGTATATACCTGCAAAAAGACTCACAAACGAATGGGCTTACCAACATTTTCCATACCAACGAGTCCCAAGTTGATTTGATTCAATGCGAAACCAATCGTTGTCTGCAGCTTTGTTATTTTCCACGTATTTTATTAAGGCTTGGTATTCTTCTTTCAACCTTTGTATCCACATATCTCCATCTAGAGGACCAGCTCTTGTTTTGAGAAGTGGAATCGCAGCAAGAGTTTTCTTTGTAGCCTCATCAACCATTACTAAGGCAATACGTCACCAGTTTCCGATTAAGTAGCAAACAGTTTACATTGCCCGCTGCAAATTTCCAAAAGTCTTCAGTTATCAGTCTTCAGTGATAAGGATAGGAGGTCTCCTGATCTATTTTAATCATTGCAGTTTGTTACACTGTGGAGGTCCAATCTCGTCTTGAATATATCAACAGAAGGTGCTGATATTACGTGTTCTGGTAGAAAATTCCAGTAATTGGCTACTCGGTGCAAGAAACGAAACTCCAGACGTAGACGATTTGATCTCGGTTCCGAACTTTCTTCGGAAGTCCTCCTAAATGATCAGTCCTATACGAAAGGAAAAGATAGGACATAATAATGCCAAGGTCATCGTTCAGGAAACGATAAGCCAATATTATATCACCCCGTATTCTACGGTAAGATAACGGAAATAAGTTGAGATGTCTCAGTCTGTTTTCATAAGATATTCCAGATAGACCTTTTACCATTTTATTCCCTCGGCATATCCACCTCATATTTGAAACAAGGAGTTGCTGTTTGAATCCCGTATTCCAAATGTGGTCTCATGAAATTTGAGTATAATAATAAAAACATTTCCTTTTCCAAATCCTGGAAAGATGTGCGAATAGACCATAATACCCTATAACCTTTTGCAGTAGCAGCCTCACAGTGGCTGTTGAGCCAGCGCCACCGGACACATATAATCGTTTTGGAATATAAAAGAACTACTGAAATCTGCAAATAAGGACAATGTATGACCATTAGAATCACCCGAATTAGTAAGATCTGAATTACAAAGTTGAATATTACCCGCGACGAAATGCATGGTAATTTTGCAAACCGATTAGATGTGTTCAATTTTATCATGCTTAAAGAACTTAGCATTACTAAATACACATGAATTAAGTGAGTGAAATTCGCCACAGAACAAACATTCAGCAAACCTGTGCTCAACTTTTTGACCTACTTTGTAATTCCTTGTTGAATCACTCTCCATATTTCCACTACAATGGAAACCATTATTAAACAAACGTGATTTTAAGCGACCCTGAGATTGAGGTTCATCATGGCGACTAAGTTAGGTATTATAAATTTTTACCGACTGGAAATCAAGCTCATTCAATGCCTCATAGTTATTACATGCTGTTTCTATTCATTGGAATAAATATTTGAGCTTCTAAATTAATTCTCTTTCTAAATTCGGAATATTTATACCATCAACCAACCGATAACGAAATTGAGTTTCTAATTGGTCGCCTGTTACTGTAGTTTAAGTATAAAGTCTCTAACTTTCCAATAATTTTGTTGCATCATTTTATGAAACTTCGTTATCTGTTCGCATTCGAAGCTAACTCAGTGCACATGATTAATTAGTAACTACTTGAGAATTTCGTATAACAATCCAATTGGTTTCTCTTAAAAGGCCTGATTCTTTACCAGGTTATGTAATTATTTGACAATGAACGTCAGAAAATGACCTAAGATTTCATCATCTCTAACATATTTTCTAGTCATGCTCTAGATTTCGAAACCGCTCCATATGGTCTTCGAAGTCGTTCCCACATGAATTAATATCCAACTGTCCAAGATTTAACTCCGTCATGACTCCCGTATGGTAATCAGAAGTATTCGAGTTATTGTACCAAGTAGAAATTCCCGAAGCAGTGCAATTTATTGTAAGTAGAACCTGAATAACACAAACGCATTATATCTGAATTTCGAAATCAGCGAGCAATCATGTACAAAATAATCATTATTTTGCACAAATATCACAGTTGGTCAAATTCGTACCTCTGAAAACTGGTCAATAGACATAAAAACATTTAGTCTCAGATGGTAAGAGTTGACGATAGCTCATGAGTCACTTAAGGATATCCATAATAAACAGCGTCATGATTCTAGTGAACTACATTGTGGTGTTCGACTAGTAGATAATAACAGAAGCAAACATTTGTAATACATGTGTTCAACAAACAGTTCTTACGAGAATAGTAAATCAGCAAAAATTCTAATTTGATTTAGAAAAAATTTTCAATTCGAATTCAAACGACTAAAACATTTGAACACTAAACCAGAAAACTTGAGACGTAACTTCTACGACAGAAATAAAAACCTTTTTCAGCACGTCTAAGCTAACTGACGTGTAGTTATTATTACAAACTGCTTTTGAGAAGCTTGATCAAAATACTGAGATTACCCAAATCGACTATTCTTTTAGAAGTTCAAGGGTTGGTGGAGACTGTTAGATATTATTGAAGCGGACGTTAGTTAGACATCCATCGAAAACTGGATAATTGCTTCCTCCTCGTATAAGACTCATTGGTGGTGGGCATCTACTATCCTATTGAGCATCGAACTAAAGCTTTCATACCCCATGAAAAGCACTTATCAATCGAATAATTGAGCCGGCATCCACCTCAAAGAAGCTGTAAATACACTCTACTGAGAAGATGTATGTTACGTCAAAACAGCTATTAAATGCTTCTTGGTTTCCAACAGTTGTCTAGTTCTGTCAGCTTGTGATCTTAGAGGTATTCTTTGAAGATTTAACTATTCAAAAGTGCTTTGACAAATAGTGTTTAATAAGCAGTTAGTGTGAGTACTAAGATGTTAAAGTCTTTAAGATTTGGTTTACAATGACCAGTTTCCAAATTTGTTCTATATTGTTTCAAAGATGTCCCATTATTCAGTGACTAAATCTCGATTATATTCTGAGAAATTAGTAAAGTTCTACAAGTTTGGTACTGACATTTCCATACATATTCACTGCTGTTTGGGACGAGTTATTTTCTTAGCAAGAGTTTTGTTCTGAGCAGCATGGAAGAATGAAACACCAACTGTTAACTGACGGTTTCTACCAAAGTTTTGCAAATATGCCTTTTCTTGCTTTACTTTCATGGTTTTGAGGACCATATGCTAAAACTCCAAGTAAACATACTGTAGGTCTCTCAGTTACACTTTATGCAACATGACTATGCTTGAATTTCTTGTGGCAGCTGTCCTTTATAGCAGTTTCTGATGGTCGAGTAGGCTAGCGATAGTAACCTTTTTGTAATCTTACTAATTTTATTACTAGTACATAGCTGAAGTCATGAATACTTCCGCAACTAAAAATTATGTTCAGGTATTGATCTGACGAAAACAGACAACGCCAAATCGTGTAAAAAAACAGAAATGTTCGAATGAGAAAATATAATAAAATAACTATGGGTGTAATTCTGGTTTGATACTACAACACAACTTTAGCTCCTAAATAAACAGTAATAAATGTTGTTCATGACATTAGCATCCTAAAAGTAACAGTTTCAAACAAACATAAATTAAGACGAATTTCTATCAGCCACTAAATAAAGAAGTAGACCACCAGTTTATTCAAGATTACATCTATTATTTAGACAAAATATACGCATCCATGAATCATATGTAAACTCTTCAAACTTGTGTAACTGTACTTAAGACCTCGTAAAGAATGCTTACTCTTATATGGAAAATTAAAACAAAAAAGAAAAGGTAATTTTGTATACAAAGTCGTGTGAACTGCTGAATCTACCCTTCAACAAATGTTCGGAAGAGAAATAGCTAAGACGGAATACACCACTGTATTCAAATCCGATTTGTGATAGTATTACAATGCACAATATGGTGTAGTATGGATATCTATCATTATAACAAATGTGAAGTAAATACATTTAAACAGTAGCATTAGTTTCCAATAGCATCATGTAGTTTCGACAAGATTTAAGTGTTTTACCTTTAAATTCACAAAAGGGTGGATAACAGAAGTTACTAAGGGATGTATAAAAATTAAATTGTCTAATGATTACTGGTTTTTAAATATTTTTCAACTTACTACGATATGTGACTAATAGTATATCTACTTTTATTATGAATTTATTGAAAACTACTGCCCCCAAATGCCCTGGTACGACCAAGAGTAAGAAGAGTCCACTTTCCCTCTCCAAATGCTCTCACATGGACACGCGTATAAAGCCGCTGTCAGGGAAGTCCTACTCACTGCCTTCTCGCGCCGAATGTGTTGTTTACGGAATTGAGGGGACGAAAAGCGAATGTCCGGTGCTTTAACCAGGTTGGTGGACACAGAGGGTCCACCTAGGGAAGTTGGAAAACTCTGATTCCAAACCAATGGTGCACATGGGATCCAGTATCCTGAGGGGAAAAATGGCGTATGAATCAATCGCTGGTCACCGACTACCATGGGACTGCATCTCCTTACGATGCTCCACTGCCTTGTGCATCAGATCTTTAGGTCAAAGGCTCCAGGTGTGGCCCCCTAAGAAAACCACCTGCTTCAGTTTCGACACTTGGACAGTATCACAGCCCTCACACAAATCAAATGAAATTTGTGTAGCGCATATGTATTCGGTGCCCCCTTGTAGCAATATTTATGTTTTTAAGTAGGTAAAAAGTAAACCGTATTATTATGAAAACTTTATTCACATATTAAATTAAGCGAAATCGCTATACAAAATACCTGATAAAAACAAATTAATTTAAGAGAAAGCTCATAAAAAAACATAATTTCGCAATCATAGATATTATATAAAGTAGAAAATGAAAGAAAAAAAGTACAAATTAAGTAAAACCTGAAAAAATCAATTCATCAATTATTAAAATGGATTGAAGTAAGATAACCTTGTGGATTTTTCACCTGCCAATTCCATAAATCTTCACACATTTTCTGTTTAAAATAAAAGAAAGAAATGAAGTTAAGTAAAAATGACTGAACAAACATGTTTTGTTCCATTAAGATTTTAAGAAATTACACTTATGTCATTAATAAAATCTGATTTATCGAAATTGGAGGACGTTGGAACTCTAGTTGTAACCTACTAGTTTATAAATGTGTAGTGTGTACCCCCGATTTCTTAAACCAAGAAAATTGAAGCGAAACTCAAATTTACAACCTAATAGTTGCAAGTCAGGTATTTGATGATTTAATCAAACACTTATTGTTGACATGAACAAAATTATTGACAGTATAGGCAAGAATTCAGCATAACAAACAGGTCATAATTTATTGGGAAGTGAGTGACCTAGAAAAGTGATTTTTTCCAACCACCTATGACATCCGTTACTGATTATTTATTTGTTGATAACTTGCACATAACCATGTTACTTTATTGGATAAAAAAGAACCTATTCTGATGGCTAGTGGTCTTATCTCTGGTGTTGATTTATTCAAGGATTTGAGTTAACCATTAAATCTCACAAGCATATCGTATCATTATGTTTGCCTATTAGTCAGGATTCTATTCATTTCATTTCAACAATTCAAAACTCATTCACCATCTATAATTAGTCTTAATCTATAACAATTATTGTAAAAATAGTTTTCCTCTTCACTGAAATGAGTATTTACACAATTTTAATTTGTTATATCCTCGATTGTTATATCTTGTGCATGTTTATTAGAGAGCAGCGAATCATCGATCGGACCAATGACACACGAAAAACCGTATGAGCAGTTTTGAGTACTTATCAGTCCTGCTATCTGCCTAGCCCAACCAGTTATATCCAGAACACCAATAACAGCCCCTGCAATATGAATCATTATTCTAAAACGTATTAGGTTTATATACCAAACAAACAGACCACATCGTAACACAAAATAGAAAATAACATTTGTACAATATTTAGCCAAATGTGACTGTGAATGCGGGAGGCCGTAACTAATAGACTGGGGATAACTCAAGAACGGTAAATTTCATAGTAGTAGTCTATGAGTCAAAATAAAGCTTATAATAAGCAGAACATGATTATGAATAGTTTAGCTATTTAACAATTATACAATCGGAAATATACGCATCATATTGGTCCATAAATAGTCCTCAGAAGTTACCATTCATAATTCTCTTGGAGATATAACAGTATTAATTAACTCAGAAAGCTTACTAATTAAAAATAAACAAATTTCTTAGATTGAATACATACTGATGTAGCTTGAGTAAATCATTAAAAGATACATGTGAATATACTAAAACCATAATTCCAAATTTACTGAGGTAAATTTTAAACTTGATTCAGTTTGAATGATATAACAAACTATTTTAATTGTAAAAGTAATCAGATATAATTTTTTAATCAAATCCTATTTATTTGACAGTTTTTTTCACAATGAAGCACTCATATTGATCGATATAATTCGATCCGAACAAAGATGGATCAAACATACATGACAATGATCACCATTCAGTGATTAATCAATTGTAAATGCTTATATTAAACAACTTTCTCTATTATGGTTAGTAAAATATATTTTTATAGGATAAAATCAGTAATTATATTATATTTGAAGAAAAAATCTTAAATCGACAATAAACAAATATGTAATGATCAGAAGGGGTTTTGTGGGGATTTAGTATTTTTCATAGTCGAGACTGGTAGGTCCTGGGTTCGAATCTCGCGAGAGCGGGTTCGTGGATGCGCACTGCTGAGGAGTCCCATAATAGGACGAAACGGCCGTCCAGTGTTTCCAGGTTTTCCACGGTGGTCTAGCTTCAATTGACTCATGCTTTCTACTACGAAAAATATGTAATGATTATAGTACTTTAACATTTCATAGTTTGATCTATTTTAATTTTCATAGAATGTTTATAATTCACTTTATTTCATGAATGTTATTCTGTTTATTTTATTATTTCAAATGTTGACTTGTAGTTTATTCCTTAAAAAAATAATAATATCAGTATTATTATTATTAATATCCAGACCCATGTCGTCAACAATAAACAGCAGTGTAGTATTTTATCTATGTGTTTATATTAAAAATACTACACAATAATGATCTAATCGAGTATACAGAGAAAAAAAGTTTAATTTAATTCAGAAACCATATATGGAATTATAAATAAATGAATATAATTTGTAATATCCAAATGAATAGAAAATTTAGATTTTCTGATGTTTCGTGACTCAGTGTAAGCCACTTCTTTAGAGAATATTAATTTATTTATTGACAATCTACCCAATGCTCAATTTATTTAAAACATATATGGACTTGTTTTCTGATTGTTAATTGCTTTATTTGATTTAGTAATATAAAATCAAAACATGTAAAGAAGTAGAATACATTCATTTAAAACAGTTACATTTTCAGAATTCGCATATAAAAATGAATGCGTTATTTAATAGCTTTAATATTAAGAATAGAATAAGTTGCTGGCATTATCCTAATGGATGTTTCAATAAACATAAAAAAATATATTGAAATCATTTATAATCTTATAAAGGGAACTGGATATCTGATTAATAGTCTCAAATTCTAGTTACTTATCAATGACAGTTCACAAACAATAAGATATGCATCTTTACAACATTTACTTGATGTTAAATATGATAGGTATTTTTTAAAGTTCACTGTAGAAAAAATTAAACGGTGAACAGAGGTAATATTGTTTTCTGATTAACAAGTGAGTTTCATAAAATAACCGATGAAATGTCATATCACTAGCTCTATGATTGAGATAAGGCTTTTGTTATTTTATATCATAAAATGTTCACTATAAAACAACCTAATCATCAATTATTTAACTTAATCAGCAAGAGAAAATGTGTTTTGATCAAGAATGCTGCAGGGCAGTGGAACCAACACAGGCGACAAAAGGTTATCCCAATATAATGCAATTTGAAATGATTTGGATTATTTTGTTGTTGATATTTTTGACTGAAATTAGATTAGTCTTGATTGGCATATGAGCAACCTGTGAACAACTTTTTGATGCAGGTATATCCAACCGACGAGTCAAGGATAGGACGAAACGCGCGTCCCGGATTCCACTGCTAGTCCCAACCTGTCAAGTCTGCCATCTTTATGTTGATTTTTGCCGTTTCTTCATTACAGTATTTAACTGTTTTAATCGATACATTATCATGTAAAATCCTATTGAAATTAACTAGTTCAATTCACCTATATACAATAGTGAAAGGAAGTTCTGCCGATATGTTTATGCTAAACAGATTGTTACCAGCTCAACAAGAGTCACAAAAATTAAAAAAACGGGAATAACACAATTGTTAGCCCAACTGAACTTATCCATTTAGAATGATTTTTGTAAGCAAAAGCGAATATGAAGTGGAGGAATAAATGATGAGACTATAGCTTATGGGTGACTTTTGAGTGACGCCAGAGTAACCGTAAGAAAATTCATCTGCCTATCAGGGTTTAAGGATGGTTATAGATTGATTTCGGAAATCTGAATCAGGATGAAGAGTTAAAAGTTAGGGTTAGAAAATACAGTTAGGGTTTTCATTACGAATTGACATAAGTTATAATGCCGAAATGCTATTTGACCAAATAGACGAATGAAATCCGTGCAAAAATCCAGGACACTCTATCTTAAATCTGATTGGTTCGCCCATAAACTATAGTCTGGCCGAATAAATTTATTTTCTTCATTCTTCACACATAACCACACTTACATCAATGTCATATTTTGCCTTCCATCCTAACTCTTGTTGAGCTAATGATGCATCTGAATAAACAGTTGCACAGTCACCAGGTCGTCTTGGACATATTGTATAAGGAATGGTTTTACCACTTGCTTTTTCCATCGCTTGGATCATTTGTAATACAGAATATCCTTGCCCTGTACCTAAATTATATACCTAATGAAAAACAAAAACAACAAAGTATTAAATAAAATAATTTTCTTAAGTAAAATTGGTTGGTTTAGAATAGATATAATTTATTCAAAATAACATGTGATAAAATGGATATACCGAAGTAATCAGCGCTTTCACGGGATGCAAATATGTCAAGAAAGATTGTTCAAACTAGATCGTGAATATCAGCAACAGGATAACAAAAGCATTCACTAAGAATTTTGTAAGTGTAATTTGTTGTTTCATGTAAGAATAAACGATGGTAAATATAATTTGATGAAAGGCAAGAGAAGGGATATGTATATATATATATATATATATATATATATATATATATATATATGAGCTCACAGAACAAAACTAGAGATTCTCTACTAGAATGGTTAATAAGTATGTACCTTTAACCACAAAACTTCTCGCCTAAATCTAATTTTATAAAGTTCCTATTGTATAGTATACATTTGCTATATAAAGTATTTTAGAGTTTTTATATTTTAGTCTTAGTGAGTATGGATTCTAAAATACTTGAGTCTTCTTATACTAGGCAAATAGTACACGAGGGATTTTTGAGCAAAGCGTATGGTTTGAATTTGATGAAATAAGGTCTAATAGTTGTTTTCAGGAAATCTATAAAAGAATACATATTTATCAACAAATAACTAGAGAATATATGAAAGCACTTCATTTGAATAAACTTAAATGTACATTGGTTATGAAGAATGTTTTATTACACTATAACGAGGGATCATTTCAATTAAACTGTACACAAGATGGGATGTCATTTAAACTTGCACAGATTAGTTTATATAAAAAGTTGTTTATTGACACAACAAAAGGACATAGGAAACTAGACTATTACATATTAATAGTACAAATTTGCAAAATTTATAATATTCGACTATAGAAATGTCAAAAATATTTATCATATACTAAATTGAAAATAGTTCAATATTGTCATGTTTAATATTTGGTATGTTTAAAAATAACGATAAGCAGCAACCTTCATAGCATTTTTTATGTCACTTGTAAATAACCTGAATTCCGAAATGCATGGTTTGTATCCCTTATTCTTAATACTGACGTTAGGTGTAGAGTATTTGGTAAAGATAAGAGAATTAATTGATGAGGTGACAGATCTTTGTCAACCGAAAAGAACTAGGATACGTATTATACATATCTGTTGCCCTTAAATGTCCTGGTATGGCCAAGGGTAAGGAGAGTCCTCTCTCCCTCTCCAAATGCTCTCACATGGATACGTGTATATAGCCGCTGTCAGGGAAGTCCTACTCACTGCCTTCTCGCGCCGAGTGTGTTGTTTACGGAATTGAGGGGACGAAAAGCGAATGTCCGTCGCTTTAACCAGGTTGGTGGACACGGAGAGTCCACCTAGGGAAGTTGGAAAACTCTGATTCCAAACCAATGGTGCACATGGGATCCAGTATCCTGAGGGAAAAAATGGCGTATGAATTAATCGCTGGTCACCGACTACCATGGGACTGCATCTCCTTACAATGCTCCATTGCCTTGTGGATCAGACCTTAAGGTCAAAGGCTCCGGGTGTGGCCCCCTAAGAAAACCACCTGCTTCAGTTTAGGCACCTGGGTAGTATCACAGACCTCACACAAATCAAATGAGATCTGTGTGGCGCATATGTATTCGGTGCCCCCTTTGTACCAATATTTATGTGTTTAAATATATAAATAAATTTAAGATCTGTGATGAGAATATAAATATGGGTCAGATAGGGTGAGAGAGATATGAAGAATATTCTTTTCGATAAATTCTCTTCAGGTTCTACAATTATATATCCAAATTAATAATCCGAAAAATTGGCCAGGTTAAAGGCAAAGTACATAGTTTAAAGCATGTAAATTTAGGATTGTCAAACCAAATAGTTAATGTTGATATGACTCATATAGAATGTTAACTTGAATCTGTATATATGGTAAGTGAAAATTTAAGATCTGTGATCAGAATATAAATATGGGTCAGATAGATATAAATAAATGACAAATTAGGGGACAGTCTAGAAAAGTGCAGAAATTAACCGAATCAAAACATGATATCAATATACGAAGTCAGTTAGTAAAATCCCGTACAAAGAGATGAAAGCTTATTGGCAAGATTGTGCAGGATAAAATTGAATTCCGCAGTTAAAATTGAATTGATATGGTTCAAAGTCAACAGTAACGATGAGTCCACTATTGATAATTCTTAAATGTTTAACCGCTTATATTTATTTATTTAAACACATAAACATTAGTACAACGAGGTACCGAACAGATATGAGCCACATAAATCATTCGATTTGCGTGAGGACTGGGATACTGCCCGATTACACAGACCGAAGCAGGTGGTTTTCTTAAGGGGCCACACCCGGAGCCTTTGACTTAAGGGTTTAATCCACAAGGCGGTGGAGCGACGTCAGGAGATGCAGTCCTATGGTAGCCGATAACCAATAATAGGTTCATGCGCCATTTGTTTTCTTAAGATCCTGGAGCCCATGTACACCATTAGTTTGAAATCAGGGTTTTCCAGTTCCGTAGGCGGATCCTCCGTAACCACCAACCTGGTTAAAGCGACGGACATTCGCTTTTCGTCCCCTCAATTCCGTAAACAACACACTCGGCGCGAGAAGGCAGTGAGTAGGACTTCCCTGACCGTAGCTGTATGCACGCGGCCATTTGAGAGCATTTTGAGAGGGAGAGTGGACTCTCCACACTCTCGGCGTTACCAGGGTATTTGGGAGCTTATAACTGAACACCTTTCATTTTTATGCATAAAACACTTTATTTAAAACTGTTTGATTGATTTGCATACTTACTTACTTACGCCTGTTACTCCCAATAGAGCATAGGCCAACGACCAGCATTTCCAAACTACTTTATTCTGGGCATTCCTTTCCAGTTGTATCTAGTTTTGTTTATTCTTCACATGTATGTCTTCATTTCTCGGTGTAATGTGTTCTTTGGTCTTCCTCTTCCCCTGTGGCTTTCAGGATTCCAAGTGAAGGCTTGCCTTGTGACGCAGTTATGTGATTTCCTGAATGTGTATCCTATCCACTTCCAGTGCCTCTTCCTGATTTCTTCATCCACTGGATGGAATCTGGTTTGTTGTCCCCCACTTTCGTAGTTCTCCAAGTTTCCGCCCCATACAGTAGAACTGTTTTGACATTTGTATTGAGAATTCTGATTTTGGTGTTGGTTGAAAATTGTTTTGAGTTCCAGATGTTCTTCAGTTGTAAATATGTTACTCTTGCTTTGCTGACCCGCACCTTCACATCTGCATCAGATCCACCGTGTTCATCAAAGAGGCTGTCCAGATATGTAAAGGTTTTTACATCTTCCAAAGCTTCTCCGTCAAGTGGGATTCGATTGATGCATGCTGTATTGTATCGGAGAGTTTTGCTTTTCCCTTTGTGTATGTTGAGACCTACTGCTGCAACACTGGTCGTTTTCTCCTGCATTTGTTGTTGTGTGTATGATAGAAGAGCCAGACCATCTGTGAAGTCTACATTGTTCAGCTGCATCCTAGCTGTTCACCGTATCCCATGCTCACCCATATCCCAAATGTTGACGTCTTCATGATCCAGTCAATTACCAGGAGAAAGAGAAAGGGTGAGAGCAAGCAACTTTGCCTGACACCGTGCTTTACCTCGAATGAGTCAGTGAGTTGTCCTCCATGGACGATTCGGTAGTTTAATCCATCATAGGAATTCCGTATGATATTGACTATCTTCTCGGGCACGCAGTAGTGTCGAAGAAGCCTCCATAGTGTTGTCCTGTCCACGCTATCAAATGCTTTTGGTTGATTTATCCAGTAAGAATTATTAGTAAAAAGGAATTTGTGTAGTGAATTTGAGAATAAACGTTGTATTGGATACGATAATAAAAATATATCAAACTATCAATATTAAGCTAAACCTTATTCAATATACACATATAAACCTTTAATTTTTATTAGAAAAAGAAGAGAAATAAATACCTTAAAACCACAATTCTGTTTGACTTTATCCAATGATTTAGTATGGGCTTCAGCTAGATCAACAACGTGAATATAATCTCGAACACCTAGACAAAGATGTGAAAAGAGAAATAATAACGTTAAACATGGTGAACTAATTCGGTCATTACTATTAGAATAATAAAAAGCATTAACAACAATTCCAAGAACTTCAGTGTATCGAACAGTTTTATTGAAATATTTCGGCAAAAAAAACAACAGTAATAAGATTATGAAGATGAAAAAGTGAGTAAAATGAAATGATTAAAAACTTTGCTTTTCACCATGATACTCTCTGGGAAAAATAGTCGACTTTTTAATGTTTTAACATCGTGTTCGAAAGCCACATATTCAACGATACTTTAATTCTTCATACATGACAATAGTCAGTTACAACGTAGAACTTCGTACGAACGTACATCAGTTCCAGTTGCCATACCACATTAGCACAGAGATGCAGTTGTCGATTCAAATCCCATATTGGTAGAAGTAGTAAGAGTATAAGTATTATGTGAAAGATAAGGGTTTGAAGATGTTATTCAAGGAGTACAATACAGTGAAATAAATTTGGAAAGAGAAAAAGATAAAGACATGAGGAATTCAGAAGATTAGAATTTGGTAGAACACAAAGAGTGGATGCACCTGAGCCATTGCAAACAATTTAGAGCCATGTCATCCAATGTCTCTAACCATCGATTGCTATCATCTCGCGAATCCCAACCAGGTAGTCCACACCTACCAACACGGCCCAGTCCACTTTTCAGCGACTTCATGGATTTATGCCATGTTTTGGTCTGGCCGCCCCTAGCTTTCTTCCAACCTGCTCCTACACCATAAAGCATTGCACGTCGGGGCAGTCGGTGGTTGAGCATACGTAACACATGTCCCAGCCATCTCAACTGATGAAGTTTCACTACTTCATCAATCGATTTGCCACCCTTACACAGTACTCGCTTCCTAACATCTGCATTACTTACCCGGTGGTCCCAGGATATACGAGCAATGCGTCGAAGACACCTATGATGGAATACTAGTAGCCTACGAATATCCTCTACTCTTATCGGCCATGTTTCACTGCCATAAAGTAGGACGGAACGGACTCCTGTACAGTAAACCCGTCCTTTTGTTGCTAGACGGATATCTCGCCTACGCCATAAATGGCGCAAGTTGGCGAAAGCTAGACGAGCCTTCTATATCCGTGCTGAGATTTCGTCAAACACCAGACTACAAGGGCTGATGAGACTCCCAAGGCAATACATGATAATAATTTGTTGGTAGTAATATCTATTTGGTTTCCCTTCACATTCTTTATATCCATTATTACGTAAATAATACTGTTTACACACTACTCACTGTATACATAAATATAATACTGGACATCATTCAACTTTGTCTAGAAATTCTTCTGACATAATGGTTATGTTGAGGTGATCTGTTCAGGATGCTCATTGCCAAAAGAGTTAGACCAATTACAGTATTTAATGTGAACAACTAAAAGATTCAAACTTACAAATAAATTAGAATACACATCTGTTTTGAGAATATATATTCAAGAATGCTATTTTTACTGATATCTGTATATCTTTAATAGCTTTTTAAAGTCATGAGTGTGATAAAAAGAAACTAATAAACTTTATTTACATAGAAATATCAGTCCATGAATAAATTCTGGATACTAACCTGTCCCATCAACTGTTGAATAATCATTTCCATAAACATTTACGTAAGGTAATAACCCACTGGCTACTTGAGTCACATAAGGCATTAGATTATTTGGAATTCCTCGTGGATCTTCACCAATTAATCCACTGGCATGTGCACCGACTGGATTAAAATACCGTAAACTTATAATATTCCATGTAGGATCAGATGTATATAAATCCTTAGCAGGAACAATATTCAAAGAAGAGTATACAAAATTAGGAATAAATTAAGAGTAAGATATATCACTTGGAAAGAATAAGTACACCCAATAGATGTCATTGTATTTGATTAGTAGTAATTGGAAATAATGGTCAATTTAAGTGGAAAATCAATGAAAATTTTATGGAGTTTAACAAACGGATAAAAACATTTCTTTTAGTTATAAAAAATGGAAAAGGAGAAACTAATTATGTTCAGGCCAATTATTAATAAGGTGAAATCGATAACTTATTACTATAAACATGTAAATACTAAAATATTAAACCATAATAGCTTTATAGACGGTTGTAACACGTCAAATAAAACTAGAGGTATATATGTATTGAATTTATTCTGACATAAGTTTTTTCTAATATTTATTATGCCCTAATTTTGATTGATTTTCTGTTATGAATTTTACGGTTACCAGTACAACTACGATTAGCCGATCATTGATTAGTCCAATTTACAGTCACCATATTTTGGTCATTATAATTCATAAACATTATTTCTATTCAGATATAGAACTAATTACAGATTCGGATCAAAATAAGTTTCTTTTTTTAAAAAAATAGTAAAAATACTTTCGAAATATGTTGAACAAAAATGAATGAAGTCCACTTTTTTTTCTTCAAAAGTCATCTTTTGTTTTTATTAAAATTATCAGAAACAAATCAAATTTATTCACTTAGTATTGTTTGTTAGAATCTTCCCATTGATTTCTTAGGACTGCAACTGGCCAGTCTCTTGTTGGCCATATGTGTATACTGTGCTTATTGCTTCGATATTGCCTTAATTCAAAAGCAGTATAAGCAAAGATGGATAGTGGCTAGCAGTGGAATCATTTAAAATATCAATGATAATTGGAAAATCTATCAGACATTAGTTTTAATTAAAAATTCGATTGTGCACTGATCATTTTGAGACTTAAGTTAGTTTAACGATTTGTAAATAACATTCACAAGTTTTAACGAGAACACTAACACCTATCCATTGTATTTCACTAGAAAGATTTGAATAAAACTAAAAAACCAACAAGCTTTGTGGGATAAAATGAATTTATTCTATTTCATTGTTTCTCATCAGATGCATCCAACTTGAAATTACAATTTTTAATATAATAATAATTATTAACAAATGTTTGGCATACTTTTGTTCGCGAAGTCTTTATAAATGTTCGAGAAACAACCGAAATCATAATGAGGAGAATAGGGATACAGTGTATGAATATACATAGTTAACGTCGATGTGTATTTACGGGCTGGGAAGTAGTGATTGAGAGGTTATGTAAGGGTAATGAAATTAATAAGTGATTGGGTAATCACTCAAAGTGATAACATAAACAAATATGTGAACATCAATCAGATTATGTACGAGATGAATAACAGAAGACGAAAGGATGATAAGAACAAAAAGATTGGGAGAAAAAATTAAAAGTAATAAAGGTCATTATACAAATATTCAATCACCACGGAAGGGAAAGGTTAATCAAACTTTCCTTGTATCTACAAAAGTGAGGTCAAAACCGTTTGATAGCGATCATTTCTGCGAAACGAAGTGACATTGTAGCTTTTTGTTTGTTGATGATTTCGAATGCACCAATTACATTCACTATCAAGACGTCTGACAATTTCACTTGTAAAGATTTGCTCCATTTCAGCAGAAGTCCCTAGGAATGTGTTCAGTAAACGTTGTAGAGGCCCTTCTCTCTGTCTTTCCTATGTACTTACTATCGCAGGTATATGTAAACTCATAAATGTAATTGGAGGTGACGTCAGAAGGGTATTGGTCTACCTCTGAATGATATTCTTCATACCATTATTACGATTTTGGTTACTTTTAGAACATTTATCTAAACTTCATAGACAAAAGTATGCCAAACATTTGTTAATAATTATATTTATATTAAATAGTAATTTTAGGTTGCATGCAGCTGATGAGAAACCGTGAAATAGAATCAATCCATTTTATTATCCAAACTTTGTTGTTCTTGCTTTGTTTAAATTTATCAAGGAATCTGGTTGTATGGCAACTAAATCCGCATAATTGATTTCAATATCAAAAAGCACCAAAGCATGACCAAAAATAATATTATCTTATTGGTACAATAGAGATAAAAATACCAACATCGAAATTATGAAATTATATAGGCAGATAATCTAGGAATTTGTATACTCGGGCTCGTGGACACCTTCCAGTGTGGTTAAGAAAAGGTGTAGTCAGAACGGTTAACAGCTCTGTTTTAGCCCATTTAGTTCAGACGGGACATAGAGCCGACACCAAGCAATCTTTCACAGTAATATATCGTGTTAATAGCAGTCTACCTAATTCTGTCAGACAGAGAATCCTGCAGACGGCTGAGGCAATTGGTATTCGGATCAAAAAGCCAGAGCTCTGCATCCAAAAGAAATATGTCCAGCCGCTCCTTTTACCCTGGCCAACTTCAGGGTCAACTCGTTAATAATCAATTTTGTAATATGGTGACATTAATTTGATTAATGTTCATTTTTATATCTTAAACTTAGTTTATCTACACATCTTATCAGTCATTATTCTTCTTCTTATTATTATTATTATCACACTTGCTAACTTTTGAGAGAAATTTATTCAGCATCTACCCTTATCTACTATATCTGACCTTATTCATATTATTCTATATATTACGTAATTTCTGATTTGTAATCCCATTGTTCTATCTCTCATCCCCTATGTCAACTATTTATATTCTGATAATTTAGCTTACGATTTTATTTCACCTATAAACCGATTCAAGTTAACACTACATATTAGTCATCCCAACATTAACGATTCGATCTTATTTTTATTTTATATGACAAACAACACTCCTTGATTCACATATTACAGTTTCTTAAATGATGTACTCTGCCTTAAACTTGGTCAATCTTCTTTTATGGATTATTAATTTATAATTGTAGAACCTGATGAGAAATTATTGAAAAGAATATACTTCGTTTATATAATTGTGTTTTAATTATGAATTTAATTATGTGAAAATTAATGAAATGCAAATTTTAAAACCATAAATACATATGGTCATTAGCCTAAATATCTATAATTGTTCTGTTTTCTAATTTTTTCATTGAAAAAAACTGAAATAATTATGACACATGAAAAACATTTTAAAATAAGTACGAAATGAATATATCGATTTTATACAATTCAACAACATTGCCAACGTAGCACTCAACTATGAATTAAAATACATTACATTTTACAGCATATAACTGGTAAAAAGTAAATAGAAGCTGAGTGCCCAATAGTCCCTAATTTTCCGATAGGTACAAACTGTAATTGTAACAAAACACCGTAAACTATTGAATACGTTATCAATTAAGTTTATGGATGACATCAGATGGTGATTGTATTATATAAACAACCCACTGAAATTGTAGAATGTAAATCACTAGAAACATAAAACAACTTTGATGGCGACCTATTTACACCACTTATAGGATTGCTTGTGAGTAGTATATATCAGAACGTAGCATCGAAGTTGCAACAAATGTCAAACCGAGTGAAGAGTTTCAGTACATCGAAAGCGAGAGGTTAGCAGAACACACGGAATAATGCAAGTGGACGATTGAAGGTTGTGTACATGTACTATCTGAATACTTTATAATTTTTAGTAATCAACATACATACCTCCTGCCAATTGTCGTGTTCTACACTGGTAGTAAAAAGCTATAATTATAGGGGCAGAAACATTGATCCAGAAATGTTAGTTTCTTAATTGTCAAATGCTATCTTGAAATGTACATTTTTAAAAATTTATCTTTTAGGAATGAATTATGTTCTAAATCTTATCCAATAAGTAATGGATAGTAGGAAAAGTAAAACCGCTTTCGTTTTTAAATCCAAGTTTACACAGTTCATGCATTAACAAGAATTATTACTATCATTACTAGTATCAGTATTATTATTATTATCTACTTTACCTTCAAGATTAATTCACAACAAAGTTTTGTATTACCATATGAATTTTGACAATTTCCAATTGGATGTTTTTCCGTAAGTGGCAAAAATTGCGGTTCACCATAGACAGTAGCAGAACTGGATAGAACGAAATTTTTAACATTATGCTCAATCATCACCTGAATAGGAAATAATTTAAAACATTTTATTTCATTAAAATCATAAAAAAGGGAAGTTGAAATAAATTGCCATTATTTTACTAGAGTTATTCGTTCCAGAAATGATACATGAAGATGAAGTGTTTTTCCCTAATGATAATGAAGCAAACATTAAACTACATACGACAAGAGCAAGTTGAAATTGTAAATACATACTTTCAAGAACCCTGTGTCAGATAACATTAAAAAGGGTCATATGTAAATCAACAAAGCTCCCATCCTTTGAAAGATCTCTCCTTGTGAAGAAGACCATCTTCAGATTGAAATTATCTTCAAAATACTTCACTGATGAAGTATAGGTAACTCTAAAAACATAACGATCTGCATCTCTTATACAATGGATAGGAAGAGCATTTTCTTTTAATTGTTCTTACCGTGTTGTCGTCAGCCGATAAACACAGTATATGCTTTCATTTTGACTTAGTCTTCACAAAATATAATTATTTTGATTGAGTGGCTCTTTAATTCCGATAAAAAAATACTTCTTGATAAAAACATCATTGTGTTTTTTGTATCAGATAGAATGTACCTTCTATGGATTAAATAATAAACTGAGAAACTACTGAATTTCACAGGAGAAATTTACCATTTAAACAATCCCGATCAAAAGAAAAATAAACACGATCATCAAACAGTTCAGTGTGAGATTATCTATCAATTAATTAGTCGGAAAAAAAATTAAAACTACTTAGACAGATAGTTAAAAAGGAGTACAGTACGTACAATATTAAAAGATGAGAAAATTTGATTATTCTCAAGAGTATAACAAAGTAGGTATTCTATACTTTGCCTAATTTATGTATCGTACACATACAATATACAAGTAATGATGAATAAAATGTAGTTCTATGCCCCCAGTCCTTTCTTGAAATTATATATATATATATTTACAACTGAAGAACATTTGGAACTCAAAACAATTGTCAACCAACACCAAAGTCAGAATTTTCAATACAAATGTCAAGACAGTTCTAATGTATGGAGCGGAAACTTGGAGAACTAGGAAAGCCATCGTCCAGAAGATGCAGGTGCTTATTAACAATTGTGTACGCAAAATACTACAGATCTGTTGGCCAGACACTTTCAACAACAACCTACTGTGGGAGAGAACAAACCAGATTCCAGCGGAGGAAAAAATCAGGAAAAAACACTGAAAGTGGATAGAACACACATTGAGGAAGGCACAGAACTGTGTTACGAGGCAAGCCCTCACATGGGATCCTGAAGGTCAAAGGAGAAGAGGAAGACCAAAGAACACATTACGCCGAGAAATGGAGACATGCATGAGAAGAATGAACAATAATTGGATAGAACTAGAAAGGATGACAAAGGACAGAGTGGGTTGGAGAATGCTGGCCAGAGGCCTATGATCTATTTGGGGTAACAGGCGTAATTAAGTAAGTAATAACAATTTTATTTCACTTTAGTAACTAATTATAAAGTTTAATGGCCAAAAAGTGACTAGTAAATGAACACGGATCATGTATAAAAATGAATGCTTTTGTAAATTATAAACAACAATCTATGATTTAGCCATAATTTAAATGTTTTATTTTTCAACTTATGAATAAATAATTTAATTATTGTACAATTTAAATGCTTCATAATTGTTATATTCATACAGGAAACAATGCGATCGAAACGATATTACGCATTTCATAACCTTTGATTATTGTCTAATTGATATTTAATGAATTGATTGTGAATATTTAATTCAATTCTAAATATCATAATCTGATATTGATATATTTATTTTTCAGTTTATGGGGAAATAAACGAAGCTACTTATTCAGTAAATAAATACTATATTACAAGTGAATTCTGGATCATATATCTCAAAAATGTATATTTACTATTATAAATTTTCCGGTTTCATATTTGCTTTAGTCGACTAATTCTATGCAATGATTTCATGTAATTATGCGTTTACAACCTCTAACATAAGCCATCACATTGGTTGGTTTATTTACTCTTCATCTATCCTATCGATAAACAAGAGGTGATTGACTCAGGATTTATACATCAACTATGTTATGCAATGAAAATTGAAATCATAGAAGTAACAATAATTTTAAAAATTTACGGGTGAATTTACACAAGTAATCACTTTAAAAATCATATATTACATGTCTTTTGAATATTCACAAGTTCAATACATATACATCCAGAATTTGTTAAAATATCGCATATTTTGCTGAAAGAAGTCTTTACTGTAATCAGATATGCTTAAAGTGACAACAAAGTAACAAGCTAAAACGCAAATACACACACAAAAAAAAACATTTTTTGATTGTGTTGAGTTGATCGAAGCCATGAGTAGCGGAGAAAATTTGTTCGGATTTAATTGACCGTTTCAGAGTCTCCAGACCAAATGATTTTAATACACTCAGAGTACAACTTCAACTGACTGACTAACTAACTATGGTTTCAATGGATTAATGATTGAAACAGAATTTGTAGACAACAAGAAAATACATTATTAAATGTACCGTCACAATTTCCTAATTTATAATGAGAGTAAATTTATAAGTTCATGGTTAAATCACATATACACAACAATATTTATTTAAAAACAAAAGAATTCCTATTTTAAAGTTGTATTGTGACCAAACACAATCAGTTTACAAGTGTAACTGTGACTACAAAATAAACGCTAACTCCAAGTAGACAATTGGAGACATATCATCTGTACAAGAACCCATATAAAGTGATACATTTATATTTGAAATTATTTCAAACAACATAAACGGTACGGTAGTTTTAATAAAGTAAAAGCAATTCCCGAGATAAAACACAGACTATCCTCTAAGTGGTAATGTTTATCATTATAAATACTGTTATTTTGATGCCAAATAAATCAATCTGTATTATAACATTTGAGGGTAAGAAATTTTATGGAAAAAAAATTTTAAATCACATAATCGTAACACAATGATATCATTGTGCCAGTTTGAAAATGCTTGTGGCTATTCACATGAATAATGCTTGTAATAAACAAAATACGTCGGTCAAATTTAGAGACAGTGCACAACTATGGACATGATTTCGATTAGGAAAACCTTGGAATACTGGGTGGATGAAACACAAAGAAAGATAAGAAATTCTCTGGCAACGCGCTAACCAACTGACATACGGAGACTGATCCAATCTACCAACCAATAAGGAGAAGGGTAAACGACTCCAAGGTCAGACACTCACCCCAAATGCCCTGGTATGGCCGAGAGTGGGGAGGGCCCACCCTCTTTCTCGAAATGCTCTCACATGGCTACGTGTATACAGCCTCTACAAAGGAAGTCCTACTCACTACTTACTCGCAAACGGGGTGTTGTTTACGAAGTTGAGAGGACAAAAAGCGAATGTCCGGTGCTTTAACCGGGTTGATGGACACGGAAAGTCCACCTAGGGGAGTTAGAAAACTCTGATTCCAAACCAATGGTGCACATGGGCTCCGGGATCCTGTGTGAACAAATGACGTATGAACCAATCGTCAGTCACCGATTAATATGGGACTGCACCTCCTCACGATGCTACACTGCCTTGTGGATCAGAACTTTAGGTCGAAGGCTCCGTGTGTGTTCCATTAAGAAAACCATTTGCTTCAGTCTGGGCACTCGGGCAGTATTATAGCCCTCACACAATTAAATAAAATGACAATTTTTTGTATGGCGCATATATATCTGGTGCCCCCTTGTACCAATATTTATGTGTTCAAATAAAATAAAATAACAAATCAGACACTGCAAACACGCAAACCACGGTTGCATGCCTATAGATAACAATCACTCGAATTCTAGATCGGCAAAACAAGCGGCTAGTCAATTATGGGGAAATTATAATAATCCACTTCTTCTTAAGATGTGTGTTAGTCAGTAATCACTGGACTTAATCGACATATAACTGAATTAACTTTATTTAGTCTCTCGAATAAATCTTTTTCACAAGATTTGTCTTTTGAAATAGCTGGAGACAAGCAAGAAAAGATTTATTGCATCCAGTATCGAAGTCTCTTTAGAGTTAGTGATGTCATCACGCAAACGTAACTTCATGCTAGCCATCGAATGTATTTACAAGCTATTATATATATATATATATATATATATATATATATATATATAAGTGGAAAACCTGTTTTTATATATTAAATGTAATAAACTTTATCCACTTCAATTAAACTCTAAATTTAAAAAAATTAGAGGACAAAAAAGTAACATATTAAAAGGCTAGAGAGCATATGGTATACTCAGTATTTTATACATTAAGGGGACATTCGAACAACAGGTCAAGTTATGTCATTTCACAAAACGAAAATACTTATAGAAATACCAAATGAATGAATCTGATTATGTTGATGAGTTAATTGGTGATCAACAATTTTGGCGAGACTATAATTGGTGAAAAAATCAATCAGATACAAGATAAAAGGTCTTGGATTATGGCGCGAAATTCATTCATCCATTCAGTTAGAAAGCATTTTGGCCTTTTACATGGTGTCAGTTGGTCATGAAAACCCTAAATATAGTTCCTGACCCTAACCATCAAACTGTAAATCATAATTCTAACTCTTCAAGCTAGTTTTAACCCTCATATAGTCCTACTTAGGAGGTGGACATTCTCGAAATAACTTTGGTGTCACTAAAAAGTCGTTTATAAATTGAAGTCTCATCATAATTTTCAATCGTCTATTTGTAGCATCACAAATGATAATAATGTTTAATTTGACTAACCTTCAATAAATTTAATATACCCACTAAATTATTGTTGTAATATTGTATAGGCTTTAAAGTTGATTCTGATACGGATTTTAAAGCAGCAAAGTGTATGACGTAATCAATTTTATGCTGAAATTATAAAAAAAAGAAATGGTAAACGGATAGTGAATGGTGAACATTTTCTTTTCTCAAAAATAAACTGATATATCAATATCAATAATAAGAATATCTTAGTGAAAAAAAACTGACAAATTTACATAGAAACACATTTATTCTATTACAGTCTTAGAAAAAGATTATCAGGTTACTAAGATCCAAATTGGAAGTAGTATTCACTCATGATAATGGTTCTTATTTTCGTATTGACTGTTCGGTAATGAGGACTATTACACTAAGAAACAAAATCCATTGTAATATTTCTTATCTCTCCATTGATGTCATTCTTCATAAAAGATTAAATCCACAATCTATAAGTCTTGCTGTAAGCGCTTATTCTTCAAAATACTGAGTTAGCATCCAATGATTTATATTTCTAACTGTACTCACTTCATGATATGAATCTAAAAAAACTACCAATAACAAACATAACCAGTATAAAATAAACGGTGACTAGGATCAGATAAAAGTTGTAATTCCAAATTAACCTCAATTAGTAATGTTTTCTTTTAAATAAATTAGGAAGAAAATATTCCCAACAGTAAACAATTGAAGTGTAAATTGTAATAGATAAAATTTTTCTTAGTTGAAAACGTGAGTCAATAGAAGCTAGACCACCAGGGAAAATCTGGAAGCACTGGGCGGCCGTTTCGTCCTATTGTGAAACTCCTCAGCAGTGCGCATCCACGACCTCGCCTCGCGGGACTCGAACCATGAACCTACCAGTCTCGCGCCAGAGCACTTAACCGATAGGACGAAACGGCCGTCCAGTGCTTCCACATTTTCCCTGGTGGTCTAGCTTCAATTAGCTCACGCTTTCAACTATGAAAATACTAAATCTCCACAAAACCCCTTCTGATAAAGATAAAATTTTGTTAATATCATTAACATGATTACGCAATAGCACTGAATAAAAGAGTAGAAATTTGTCAACAACTTGTCAATATAAACATAAGAATAGCAATAACTACTTATTTAGTGTATATCGCTGTACTCACCATCAAGGTACATAAGTTTATATGAGGAGTAGTAATATTAACCGATTGATTAAGACGAATATATGTGAGGTGTAGTTTGAATCAACAACGTAACAGTTGAAAGTCGAATGTTTTATTCACTACCCTACTACTACACTACTATAATAGTCAATAATGTTAATAAGTGAACTCATTAAAATCTTGTCTAAGAATAAAAGTTCGTAGAAAAAAGTGACTTATCTGTTAGATGAAATACCCAACATCACGTTATTTTCATGAACTTAGTAATACTATCATTTTTGCAAGTGATGTTTAGTGTTGGTTTGTTTGTACAAAACAATTAATCAAAAGAAATACATATAGGTAGATGGATAGACGTACTTTTTCAAAGATATCATTTACAGCTTTTTCATCTAATAAGTTCACTTCACAGAAGAGTAATTTTTCGTTAATTATTTTTTCAATACGTTCTATACAATCTGCAAAATTGAAAAAAAGAGATCCATTGAAATAAAATAATATGAGAAAATTAACTTCTTCAATATTTGAATAACAGTAGAAATAAGTCAGTTAACAATGGCGAAAGACCCAGACATAAAAATGAATCGGTACAAGTTGCCTAGCTTTATGTAAGCACATAAAGATAAAACAATTTGGCAAGATGAAAAGTTTCAAAAATCGAACTAATAACATCATTGTTTGTGAGTACTGAACAGAAAGAATGTGGTTTGAATAGAATATTTCACATGAAGCAATCAATAGTACTGAGCAATAATCTTACTCAAGAGTTAAACGATAAGTGAATAAAACTATTCTACTGCTACTGGCTTGTAACCCTTTCATCTAATGTCCTTATCTATTGCTTGGAATTATAATGTGAACTTTCAAGTTCGTATCCCACAGAATTGCTCAAATGAACAGTTGATGAACTGATGTCAATGGTTCATTTGACCTCTCGAAACCATTGTTCAATCGATGATGTCAACCAGTATCAAACGTAAGGGTAAGAGTGTTGTATAAGTGTATCATGTTTTAATCGTTTTGATCACTAAACGTCCACAGTCACATTAAATGATTCAAAGTAATATCGTAGAAAAAGTGAACTAAATCAAGAAAAAGAAATAGATTCAGATCAAAAATTTTAAACTATGAAGAACCTTGTTTGTATTAAAAGTAATACGAAGCACACTGAAAGAAGTGATATTTATAACCTGTCGTAGAGATGTAGTTTGCTAGCTGAAAATATCACTAAGGTATAAGGTCTTTGGGGCAAACAATCTGTGCATTCTGCACTAATTTAATGCATGATGTGCCAGAAATATCCTCCATTTCCATACAATTTTGAAATACGAAGCGAAGTAGTTGAACATGCTAACTACTTTGAATAGTTCCACAAATAACACTAGTTTGGCATTCAAAAAATCTCGACACAGATTCAGAAGGTTCAGGGTATCGCAAAGAAGTATGCTAACAACGGACCAGTGCGACATTCACTCATTAAGTTGTGGAGTCGGATTCTGTCTCATTCGGTCTCCGTATAAGTGTCTTGTTATAGTTGGCAATAAAGCTTAACTAGCACATAATATATCTGAGCGCAAGTATGGAAATTAAAATTAAATCTTTTGTTATAATAACTTTGTCAAAGAATTTACATCCTGGTTTCTTACTAGACTGATAACTATCTCAGAATCACAACAGTTAACAATCCTACCTTGCTAAAATAACCTTAATACTTCTACCCGAAGTTTGTGCTGATGATTTCGTTCAAAAGGACGATGAAAGCTCCATGACCAAACCATCCAGCTCAGAAAACAAACCTACATCAAAATAACCTTAATACACCTAGCCCAAGTCAATATTGTGACCCAGTACATAGCTCTACGATGGTGTATCATACAGTGATTCTGAACACGACACTAATAATTGTAAACAAAACGATTCTAATAGTTTTGACCCGACGATCCCATTAAGAAACGATGAAGAATAACAACTCAACATTTCATAATGCATAGAATAAGAAAAAGAAACTGTAGAATTTACGAACAAAAAAAGTAATTGGTGAGAAAGGGTAGGCAACAAATTAAGTAGTGGACATGTAAGTCAATCGCTAATCAATATCCAGCCATTAACACGTAACTTAAAGTTTAACAGTGACTAATTTAACTATAGTATGGATATAAAAAGCAAAAACTTACTAATACTTGAATTACTTAAGTTATCCAAAGCGATAACTGAATACCCATTATTGACCAGTTCCACAATTGTATGACTTCCAATGAATCCGGAACCACCGGTTACCAGTACAAGTCCTTTATTGTCTTTCTGCATCCACACGAATCTGAATACGATAATAAAATTCAGTGTTTATATATATATATATATATATATATATATATATATATATATATATATATATATATATATATATATATATATATATATATATATATATAATGAACTGACCAATAAGCAGAGAGTTAATTGAATCCAGGCTATTTCTGTAAGCCAATGAAAAATGAACACATGGACGAGATTAAGTAGTTTTATCATCAACTGGGTTTCTAAAATATTAGGATAACATAGTTCTGAACAAAATTGCGTGATATCGATAAAAAATAACAAAGATCTTGGTAGTCAAATAATCATTAAAATTTACATTATTCAGTCTGAAAATCAGATTTAACAGTATCGCGTTATTGCAAATAGAGTAATCTACTAAGGAGTTTATATTTATATCGATTTTACTAGCGTATTATGATTTTAATAGTGCAAGACTGAAGTTTGTACGTTTCAGGCTATTTAGAACTTATATGATGAATAATCCGAAACGTGATGATAAAACCTACTAGTGTTCTCATCTGAACCATAGGATTAAAATAGTCAGTCCATGTGTTAATTACTAGTATAATATATTATCTTCCGTTATGAATTGACACAATCAAATCAATACAAACACATCGGGATGATCAATTTTTGGTAGTATGAAACATATATTCGTAATTTCACTATAAATAATCTATTCAAGTTTGAGCGATGGGGATATAATGAAATTCACTCAGTTTATATACCAGCAAAGACCAATAACTGGTAAAAATTATCAGTAACAAGAAATACCACTCTTTAATAATTCCTTTACAATTAGATGAATATAGAAAATTCTCTATACAACATGAAAAAAATAGACAAATTTTAGTTTTCTGAGCAAAGATAGATAATGGCTAGCAGTGGAATCCAGGATGCGCGTTTCGTCCTATTCGGGACTCATCAGCTGGATGTACCTGCATCACAGAGTTGATGTTCACTCTGGGACTCGGATCCAGTACCGTTTGAAGCGGACAGTCCTAAATAACAATGGGGAGATACAAGTAAACAAAACCAAGTGAATTTGAGTTTTGTTTTAGATAAATCTAACCCATGCAAAAGATATACATGTATATCCAGAAATACTGGAGAAGATTACTAGAACACGAAAGCGACTTTATTCAAAACGGCAATAATATCTTCACCAATTAAACCATTAGATTCCAGTAGCTTAACATTATTAAAAAATGTATAATTACTAAGGATAATAAAATTACCATGATTATAAACTATCTACTAACTCAGTTTCAGTAGTGTGATGAAACATAAAAATCTCACAGTAACATAATTAAAACAAAATTGTCTGAAGAACCATGTATTTATCATAAATTATACAAAAACAAATAGTTTAAAATATTAAAACAACACCAAATGTATTTAGAGTTTATTCATGTAATGAAATACACATATTTAACACAAAATAACTAATTTGAAGTATATCGTAACATCATTCGATTCATAACGTCAATGAAAAACAATAAAATTCATTATATTAATAATAGAAATAAATCTTACCATTTTATAAGAATATAATAGTTTACTTTTTATGTATATAATCGAAAGTATGCAAAAAGATGACAATAAACTAATAAAAATAAGATGTATCAGTATGGGGTTGTGGAGATTATTATGTTTTCGATTGAGATCATGGACCGATTGGTGTTAGACCACCACTGAAAACCTGAAAGCATTGGACGTCCGTCTCGTCCTATTGTGTGACTCCTCAGCAGTGCGCATCTACGATCTCACTTGCGGGATTCGAACAAGTGCAGCTAATCCGTGTCAGGTAGAGACAGGTATCTACCTCAGTACAATGGAAGATGGTCGCGCAATTTTGTGGGTTGGTTGCGGTTAGACATTAACACCGTTAGATACCTGCTCAGTGGTCTACAGTGTTAAGCGTTCGCGCGCGAGACCAAAGGCCGTGGGTTTGAATCCTGCGAGTGGGATTATGGATGAGCAATGAGGAGTCTCACAATAGGACGAGACGGACGTCCAGTGCTACCAGGTTTTCAATAGTGGTCTAACATCAATCGGTTCATGATTTCAATTAAAATAGGATGTATTATTAAAAATACAGTAAACAAGAACTTGAAAGATTATAATCTAGTTTCTTATTTTTGAAATCATCAAGTAGAATCGAACAAAACTCATACTCTTGTTAAAAATAAAACGTTAGTGGAAGCATTATAGCTGGTTTATCAATCGTCTGGATGATAGTTTTACACATGTTTTCTTATACAATGAATGGTTAACTGTTTCAAGCGAAAGCAATGTATACAGTTGAATATTTGTTACAGTGAATTTAATGTAATTCTGATTTAAAAATTAACTTTATGTAATAATTTAAAAGCGATGAAAATATTTCCAAACACTTTTGTGTGTTCTAATATTAAAAAAATTTAACAGTATAATGAAGTGAAATGTTCAGCCAATTATGAGTACAGGAATAGATTTATACCTAATCGATTATTTACCATTTCATTGAAATCATGAACCGATCAATGTTAGACCACCATTGAAAATCTGATCATGATTTCAATGAAACTCAACCATCACCACAACCCCAAACTGAATATTTATTATTTATGATTACTTTTAGTAATATGAAGAAGCACCTCCTAGAATATGGTTCAATAGTACAGCCTCTATGTTAAGTTGACGCACTCTACAGTATCAAAATACGACATTTATCTTATAATTTCCAAATGAGTTTTCACTTTTATTGTTACATTCAAATGTATATCACTTCGCGTGGAATTGGCTTACTTTCATAACTAATCATATTTTGTGTTCTTTATCAAATCAGTAGATAAAATACTTCTTGTCAAACAAAAGTAATAAACATTGTAATAAGAAATGGTATTTCATTTCATGTGCTGTAAATTATCTACATATGCATTAAAATTTACTCTATACCATAATGTCTTGTTACTTTTGCATTACGATATTTTATCAAGTCACTAACTTCTGATCTGAGCCACGTTGGTAGATGCAGACCATTTGATTGGGGTCCGCGTGACTATCGTTACCAATGGTTGGAGCCTCTGAGTACCGTAGCTCAGAATCTGTCACAATGATGTAGGTGTATATACATTTTGTCTTCACTTAAACGGTAAGATTAAAATTACATTATACCTTTCTTTGTACGAACTAACTCTTCCTTCCTGTATCATATCTTTATATGAAATCATTTCTTACTACCACTGAAGTAACTGCTTCTATGAATTTGGTGAACATCTTGTTGTGCCAATGAGGTATGGCAACTTGGAGAGATGCATATGTGCCTGGTCCTACGTTGTAGATAACTGACTGATCAAGTAAATTGATTGCACAATACTTATTTGTTAAGTGTGAGATTTTGCTTACACATCAATCTAGGATTCAAGTTTTTGTTATAAATAATACTTTTATTATCATACGATGTAAGTCGTGTTTTGAATTTTAAAAATTTGTAGACTGAGGCTCAAAAACAGGAATTCGTACACGCTGATTAAGCTGACAAGATGTACAAACATAACAACTCTTCTAGAGTATTACACTAGTCATCTATAATTGGTTTAAATAATTTTACAAATTCCTGACAAAATATTCATTGTTATTGACAGTATAGTACGACTATTCAGCAACTGAAACTTTTCTAAAAATTTAAGGAAAAACTTAGATTTATGAAATAAATGTCGCCAACAAACAGGAAAAACTCATTTGATAGTGTTATATACCACTTACTTACTTTTCCTGGTATTGAGAGAACAGTGATGCCCCTGTAGTTATCACACTCGCTGAGATCGCCTTTTTTGGTATCTTGATCAGAAGCCTTCTTTCCAGTCTGTTAGTACTTGTTCTTCATCCCAAATCTTACTGAAGAGAATGTGAAGTTGCTGCTACATCTGCTTTCAGTACCTTTGCTGGAATGTTGTCTGGTTCCGTTGCTTCGCCGCTCTTGATTTGTTTGATGACCATGCTGATCTCTTCAATTGTTGGTGAGCCAACATTGATTGAGAGGTCCGTGGGTGCTGCTTCGATGTTGGGTGTGTTCAGTGGAGCTGGTCGATTCAAACGTCCCTCAAAGTGCTCTACCCACCTGTTCGGTCGTTCTTCTTCAATGTTAGTGATTATTTCGCCTTCCATGCTTTTCACTGGTCGTTCTGGTTTACGGTACTTTACAGAGAGCTTCTTTGTCGTGTCATACAATTGTCTCATGTTTCTTACTTTTGCAGCCTTTTCCGCTGTCATTGCTAAATCTTCCACATATTTAGGTTTGTCGGTTCTCATGCCCCTCTTCACTTGCTTGTTTACTTCTGTGTATTCAGCTTGTGACTTGGCTTTTCCTGCTCTTGTTCGGCTGGCATCGATTGCTGCCTTCTTGTTCCTCTTCTCTTTAATCTGATCCAGTGTGTCGACAGTGACCCATTCCTTGTAGTGGTGATTTTTGTGACCCAGAACCTCCTGACATATTGAAGTGATTGCCTCCTTGGTCCCTTTCCAGTTTCTCTCCATAGAAGTTCCCTCTTCAGTGAGTAGATCATAAAAGGCCTGGAACCTATTGCTGAATGCTACCTTGAATTCGTTGAGTCTGTCAGTATCCCGAATAAAGGCCATATTAAACTTCTGAGATGTTGTCCGCCCCGTTGTCCAGTGCTTATTAAGTTTTAATTTCATCTTGACGACCAGCAAGTGATGATCTGATGCTATGTCAGCTCCTCTCCCGGTCCTTACATTCTCCATCGTTCTCCTGAACTTTTTGTGGATACAGATATGGTCATTTTAATTCTGCGTTGTGTGATCCGGTGAAGTCTATGTGGCTTTGTGTATGTGTTTGTGTGGGAATATGGTACAGCCTATGACCAGGTTATTGAAGACACATAGGTTTGCAAATCTCTCACCATTTTCGTTCCTTTCGCCCAGACCATGTTGTTACATGATATCTTCGTATCCCGTGCTGTTAATTCCAACCTTGGTATTTG